TTTCCATCCTCCTGTCTCACAGGGCTGTGTGTCCAGGGCTGAGCGAGGTGCCTGGCTGCTCCGCATTGTGTCCCATGAGACAGGCAGGACCACCCTGTCCTACCCCCCCGCGGCCGCAGCCCCCCCCCCCGCTGCCAGCGTCTCACCGCCCCTCGCCGGCCCACACGCCCCCAGCTCCGCTCCCCTCCTACCCGCCGCCTGCCCGGGAAGTCGAGGGGCGCGACCTCCCCTCTCCCCAGCGAGCGCGCGTCTGCCAAGCTTCGTGCGCATACACCGCGACGCCTACCAGGAGCGAGCACTGCGGTACTGCCGTGAGCCCCCGACAGCTCAGCTTGCAGGAGGAAGTTGTTATCCGAAAGTGTAAAAATGCACCTCTACATGTCCATAGTCAATTCTGGATTTAAATGCAAGAGCGGAAAGCAGAAAATTTCGAAGCTCTTTGATTAGATGTTATCCAGCTAAACACGTCCTAGAGAGCGCGATTTGAGATTTCAGATTTCTAATCTTCCCACAGCACCATCAAGGGTTTCGCATCTACAGAATGCGAGTCTTCACAAAAACAAAAACCCCCAGCCACTCCCACCACCATTCCTGGTGCGTGGTTACCATCCAAAAAAGCCTGAAACAACGCCTTTTACACAAAAAAATAACTGCATACGCTAATAGCTGAATTTGCAGTTTAGCAATGCAGTGTTTAAAGGGCAGGTATTCAAATAGCACGAGGTGCAGAAATAGAATATATTTTACATAAATGATCTCAAAAAATGCAAACAAGTCAAGTAATTACGAACAAAGGGTGAATATAGCAGTGGTCAAAAATGCCCTGTTAATGTTTTAAAATGGGTTAATGATGAATGCAACAGTAACTGCTAGCTAAAGGTTGTAATAACAGACATCAATCATATTCTAAAAACAGTCTTGGAAAAAAAAACATCCCCTATTGATAAAAGCGGAGTTCAGCCCTACCCACAGAATGAGGTTGCTACTTCTTCTAAATATTTAAAAAAGAAACTGCATACTTACACTTTCAGGGATTGTTGGCAATCCAGTTATATCAGGAGTAATGAAATACGAGTGCTAATCAATGGGGAAAAATAATTCATAATTTATGTACACAGAAACCAAAAATTAAAAAAAACAAAACAAAACAAAAAACAGCATTTAGGATTTCCAACCCCATCCTTGTTTAAGCAAATAGCCATTTTTCCAGTAGCATTCTTACCACTACTAGACAAAGCATTAGGCAGATCACGACACGAAATGACAAGCTCTGGTTCAGCACAGCACACAAACCAAGGGAACAAAACGCTGGGCTGCAGTTTTGAAATAGCACTGAAATTAAGCCAGCTTTAAATGTTGTCAAGCCTGTGAGTAGCATTGATTAACTTAAGCACTGATTTAAAAATTGCAACCAAAAAAGACCACGTTAAAGGACAAAATGTAAATTTAGAATGGAAAAGGAAAAATCATTCACATGAGAACATTAATTAGCACAGAAATATTATTACTTGAAATACATTCTCTTCTCTTTCCAAACATCTTTGAATCAAAAATGTGCTAACAGAAATACAGGGTCTGACAGCTTGAGATTCCACAATCATTTATGAAATACATTAGCAATTTTATGCATCTTAGTTTGAGGCCATCTAGGATGTAAATATGGATTAAACTAAAAACAGATGTAATTTAAATTATTGTCATTAATCCAGTGCTTTTAGTAGTTATCAGACATGGATTTAGCTCAGTAATTTTAAGGCATTTTTGCATATTAGTCTAAATCTTGAAGGACCAAAAAATCTTAAGTACATACTAAGTAAATGTGGTAATTGCTGACTTTTTAACTTTTATTTGTTTTTAATGGAATTTTGACATTTTTCATAGATTTTTCTTTGGTTTTATAGCATATTTTTAAATTATAATTAACAACACAAAGACACAGTTTGTTTTCAAGTCACACTTGAAAAACATATACCAAGACATAAAGGAAGTCTATAAGATATTAAATGTCTTGTGCTCAAGAAAAAAAAAAATAATACTATTAAGTCTATGTAGGAGACTTATTAAACCAGCTTGACACATTTAATAGAAATTTTTTCCCACAAATTAGGTCATTTGGCAATAGTTAAAAATCTAAGAGAAAAAAATTGGCTTAAAAAAGGCATCCCATAAACATCACAGCACTTGCACAATAAATGTCCCAGGTTATTGTTTTGCATCAACAGAGAAAAAGGGCTAAATTTTTTTTCTCTAGTCAAGAACAGGAAAATATTCAGACTAATGGAATGCCTATGTTCTTCTGAAGCATAGTGAGAACAGAAAATTATTTCCTATACGTAATAAGGTCACAGAATTTTTATCAAAAGATTTCTGAGTAACGAAGTTAATAACTTAGAGAAGTAATTATTTACAATTAACAAAGTAATAAAATTTCACTCATTGAACAGAAAAGGAAGTCAGAACTATGAGACGCAGATACCCATTACTGCAGTCATTAAGTCATAAAGCAGCAAAAATAATGTGGCGTGGAGTCCTTGCACATCTCTGTGAACTCCCTTAGAAAGATGTACGACCTTGGAAGAGATACTAAACTAATAGCTGCTGTCCTGTATAAAGTCTTCTCTAAGAAGGACATCAGAAAATGCAAGTTTTGTTCCTCAGTGTAAGGGTTTGATTTTGGTTGCGGTTTTTTAGGAAGGATTATGATGCGCACACACATAGCTCTGAAGTTAGATTGATTTAAACAGAATAGGTACATTAATATTAGACTGTTCTTGTAGGCTGAAGACAGCAGCAGAATTTCCCAAAGGACAGGTATAAATAAGCCTGAAATCAAAAGAGATATCCTATAGCAAGTAATTATTTCTTTAATTACAATAGGCTTTACACAGTCAGTGCCTTTTAAACTCACCGATACAAGACAAGGCTGTTTTTTCAAAACTTGCTCACTTGCAAAAATCATCTCTTGGTTCTTATGCAAGATGAGAGAAAGATTGAACAATTGACTTTTTAGTTTTCCAACAAAAAGGCCAAAGCTGACTCTAATGCTTGTAATATTCCACATTTAAAATATTGGCTGAAAACACATTTTATTGTTTGCATTCCTCCCTCATATGAATTCAGACTTAATTTAGCTAGCTTTTCCAACAAAAAAAGGGGAAAAAAAAAAAAAAATCATTTTTGTTTGCCCTCTGTGGGTAAAATAAAAGTGACCCTAATTATATTTAACCTCAGGTTTCACAGAACAAATGATCACCCCTCCCAAATTTCAGCTGCAGAATATTTGTTACTGGGATCGACAGGTGAGAGTAGAACTTGGTCCCTAACTGGACCACGGCATTTTGGTGTCCTCCTGACCAAGGATCACTGGGAAACACCATGTATCCAGACACTGGGCATAATTTCTGCATGATTTTATACATGCAATCCTAAGCACTGTTCTGGTCTGCCATCTAAACCCGGCTTCAACGCCTATGAGCCTTCCCCTGCAGCATACCCGGGTAAGTCGGGGGAGAGATCTTTGTAATTCTGCATCACGAAATTTGAACTACATCCATCCTGGCACAATAAAAAGCCACTTCATGATGTCATTTCTACACTTCTTTTTCAGACTGTAACTTCTTTTTAAGTCTATTACTACTGACTGTTCCAGTCTAGCTTATTTATAATATACGAGGAGCAAGAAAGGAACATCAGTATAAGACTAAGCACACGAAGTTAGAGTCGAAAGGGGCCATGAACATTTCCCTGCTCCCTGCAGCACTGAGCGCTACAAAGAGAGAGAGGCCTGCAGATCCTGCAAGCATTCTGCTTCAAGGCTGACCTGTTCCTTCCTACTCTGCCCCATCTGAACCCACAGGATTTGCTCGGCTGTACCTGCAGCCACATTCGGCAAGATGCCTGCATTTAGATAATCATCGTTAACCAAAAAAGATTACAGAACTCTTTGGTGTAACAAGCTACTGGGAACAAGTGACAATTGAGGGAAAAAAGAATTCAAAAGTCAGATAATACTGAAATAAAACCAGCAAGCATCAATCTCATTGCAAGCAATTTGTCACCCCAATGGTGCTAGCTGTATTCACCACAACATCCATCGCCAGGTTCATCACAACACTCATTTTGAGGCAGGCAAGTTCTATGCAAGACAAACCACAACACTGACAGCAACAGGCAGTAACACTTTCCAAGAAACGCACGGAAAACTATCCTTAAAACTTCTCTACGTCGCTCTGCAACAGAGTAGGATTTTTTAAAGGACTTTATGAAGCGTTTAAGGGTTTCCAAATTACAATTGTTTATAATACTGCAATTAATGATAGCATATTATTATTTGATATACAGAAGCATTCTTGGCAAATGGACTATGAACTGAAAAATAACTTGAAAATATTACGCTGACAAGAGAAACAGAAAACTTAGCAACAGAAACAACGCCAACTGCAGCCTCAAAAACCAGTACATTGTTCTGGTGAAAAACATCATACAAGACTGGAAGGACTTCCAAATATGGTGGATTAGCACTGTTCAAGGGGGGGAAATATTAGGCCCCTCTAGCCTAGTGAAAAAAGCTTAATAAGGAATCCAAAATATGACAAATTAAAATAAAATAAAGGCAGCATTATGTTAAAGCAGCAAGGGTCAGTAACTAGTGGAACAGGAGCGGTAGACTCTCCATTTCTGTGTGCCTTCATAATAGGGCCAGATGCTTTTCGAGAGTCTGTGCTTACTTCACTCAAAGTATTGGACTCAATTCTAAAATAAATGAGTTAAAAGTCAACCAGAAATGACACTGATAAGGTCAAGATAAATAATCTAATGATCTTTCAATATGTGCGTAAGGGAAGCCTTCACAAAAATCACTCCTTTCTGTGCCCTGCAAACTGTGACAGTCCAATCCAGGTGTTATTTGCACACAGTGACTTGTGCGTGCGGTAACTGCACAGATGCTGTGAACATGAACGATGTCTCGGCAACAGCAGAGGCTCTGTGCTGGCTCTACATTTCATGCAGGCTCTACAAATGTATTTAAACATGCGTCCATATGCTATTGCTGTTAAAAACCTCAGGAACTCTAGCAGAGACAGGCTCTCTTTTTGATGTTTCTGCAGCAAGGCCACCCTGCCACAGTATCAATGACCAGTCCCATATCACAAAAACTCAGAGCACAAAAGCAAGGCAGACACGTGCAGGTTCTGTCACCTAGATGTGCTGGAAGTTTCATGTAACACAGTACACCTCTCCTACCATCTTTCCTACAGCATTTTTGCATGATCAAGCAAAACTAGGAAGAAGGGGAAGGAAGATGGGAAAGAAGCCAGCTTACACAGATTTTTGTCCAGTCCTGCAAGTCTACCTACTCCGACACGAGGCAATAAAACAGAGTTAATGTCTCCCAATTCACAGTAGGAGAAACCAAAATTATCTACATGAAACAGCTGGAAGCACAAAAAAAGTAGATCTAGCACTGCCAGATCCCACTGCAGTTTGCTTTCTCATCCATAGAGCAAAATCAAAATTTCTGCTTCTTGATGACTATGACTTCAAGAGAACAACATGAGACAAAGACAAACTCTATTCTGAACAAAAGGAGGAAAAAAAAAAACTCAAGGATTATCCAAGCCAGTTAATGATGGGAAGCAACATAAGTTTACCCTTCACACAGGTTTGGGATTTTTTTGTTTCAACCTTACCTACTATTTTATCGTCAGTAACAGGATTAGGAGTTAAACAGAGAATACTTACCACACTTAGACTGACTAAAGCGTTCGCTTTTGGCACAGGATGGCTATACAATGATTTTAACAAATCATTTGAGTCATTTTCCTATAGGGAATATTTTTAAAATGTAGGTAATTATTGTACAAAAAGTGACTAATTACCATTTACTACACATCAAACTATATATTGACAAAGATATACATGTATTTTTAATGAGAAAGATAATTGTAATTCACAGTGAAATATTTAAGTATAAAATTCAGGCCAACTTTCTATCTCAGAAAATGACTGTATCTGCAATTTAAGACCATCTCTTACACATTTCCCCATATACTCCTTAAATGAATCACGTTATTTGCAACTGAAAGCAGCGTCAACACATCTAGCTGCTCTGTGCATCTTGGACACCACCCTCCTAAAACTGTTAGCCATGATATTTGTCTATTCAACGTTTTACTAAATATGCAGCTACATGGCTATATGGTGTACTTTAAAAATGGTTCATCAGAGCACATAAAACAGTTAATGAGGTTTACTGAAAAGTACACGCAGGTACTGGGCTTAACTAGGATCCCTCACCTTGACCTCTAAGAGGGACATTTACTTGGGAGATGCAGCTGGAGTTTTCATTTGGTTTAGGGGTTTCATACAGTTTAGGGGTTTTGTTCATGGAGATTAAATTCTCTTTGTTGTCAAAGTAAAACTAAGAATACCAGTGACAAGCCAGGGCCAGCTTTTAAACATACCGTTGGACTTTGCAGGAAGCTTCCACCCATTCCTGCAAGCATGATGTTGTTACTGCATCTCATACTAGTAAACGAGACTTTGGGTCTAGCTCTTGGTCAGACATTTTCTCAGCATATAGGACAACAAACTTCTAACCCAGCAATTTAAATTGGTTGCAGTAATAGCTGCAATGCCAGAACCAGTGATGATGCAACAAAGGAGAAGACAATCCCTACCCCTTCCTGTCAAATACAACCTTAATCACGATTTTTACTATTACAGTGAAATCAGGGCCAAAACCAAAGTCTCATTATATCATTTACAAGAATTAAATATATTCCACACTTTATTTAAACACAGCTAACATCAAACATCTGCCGATATTCAAGACCCGCCTGGACAAGGTCCTGTGCAGCCTGCTGTAGGTGACCCTGCTTCGGCAGGAGGGTTGGACTACATGACCCACAGAGGTCCCTTCCAACCCCTACTATTCTGTGATTCTGTGAAACTACCCTACTGCATTTTCTTTTTACGTAAAATATCATCATTCTTTATAGTCCATTTACTATCGTGCACAAAAACTTCTTATTCTATAGTTTATATATTCTTCAAAAGTCCTCTTTTCCAGTCTACAGCATACAGTTGACTATTGATGCCTTTTTTTCTTTAATTATAATCTCGTACAATAATATAGCTAAAGTAGAAAGGTATAGCTTTAATGTTTTCAGTAAAGACAGATGCCAGCCTTTCCTTTCCTGTGTAATCCTGGAATATGTCTAATTGCTCATGAATATGCAAACTAAACTATCATGATTCTTCACCAAATGCTGCAAGTAATTTTGTCTTGCTAGTTGAGATGACAGAATTACGAGAGGTAGCTTTTAGTTAATATGAAGGGTGAAACAGTACATCATATTTTATGCAGTTTTGAGAAAAGTGTTTGTAACTGATAAACAGATAGTTCCAGAGATCTACAGTTTACAATCAATACGTCATACAGATCCCCAGTGATGTGACACTTTGCTCACGCTTCACCCAGGACTTGTTTATGCTAAGACTGACACTTTATAAAGGTATATTCTCACCAGCTTTTTAAGATTAATGCGGGATTCAAGCAACAGTGACAGCTGTATGTTCAGATTCTTTGAATTTCACTATGAAGAATGTAAAAACTTGCTTCTCAATTCTACTAAAATTTTAAACTTTTAAACAGTACAGAATCACCTTACAGCACTTCAGATGGTGACTATTATTTCAAGAAAAATATTTTACACAAAGAAACAGAATATCTAAAATTACCTCTTCTTTAGCCAAATAATCTGCCAGGGTATTTAGGAGCTTGTAGTATACCTCAAACCATGGTAGGTAACTAAAAGAGCAAGGAGAAAAGCATTTTAATAAAATATCAATGTATTTTTTCCAGTGCTTAGAAAATACTACTACAATTAATCTGACTTGCACATTTTTATGGCATTGCTACATATACATAAAATGCATATAAAACTTTTCCCCACAAATTTAATAGTACATCACTGATAGCAGTAAAGCTACATTTCTTTATGCTGGACACCTGCTTGAAGTTCCGTTAAGCGTAGATTAACTCATAATACTTTCACTTCTCGTTATTTTAAAGGCACCAAAAAATATTTTTTAAACATTGCCAAATCACATTCCCATTATCTTTAATTGGTACAGCTCCCAGTAGTTATGTTATTTGCAATTTTGAAATTCTACATCCTATTGTACCTGGTGGACTGCCAGACTGCTGCATCCCTGGAGAACAAAAAGCAATTTCACCTGGGCAGACCAGGTACCTCGTATTTGACAAGTGGTGTGATGTTATGCAATAGTATAGATGTCACACTATATGCAAGAATATTGGTCTCCCTATAAATTCATTTCTATAGATAGAATTAACTTCTAAAAGTAAATGAGTATTCACCAATGTTGTAAACACACAGCACATTAATACATGAATACTTCGTACACTTTTAACACAAGTCTGCAGTCCATACACATGCAATACTCTCAGTGAGTTAAACAGAATTCATGATAAATAAGACGTAGCTGACAAGCATTAGAAAAGGAACTCAAACCCAGTGGCATCACTTCCATTGTTTGGTCGTGACATCATCAGCAATCGTATGCTACAGAACTTTCCATGATCACTATTTAATCCTATGATATACATGTAATAAGTCTGGTAAACTAAACAGTACCAGTATAAAACACTCTGTATTTACAAATTACACACCTTCTCACATCTGCTAGACTTATATCACAAAGAATGTCACTAAAATGGTAACAGTATGGTTAATATCAGTTGTTTGAGATTCTAAGGGGACTGGGAAGGAAATACAGGCTGAAAAGTTTCTACTGCATTTCATACCCATATGTAACAACACTACGCACTTTGTTACTCAGTGCCGTGTAAATGCACGGATATACTTTCAATCCATTTCTTAAAAGCTTTAGCACGTGCTGTTTACAGACCTTAAAATTTCAGCTTTCTGTATTTCAGGAAACATGTTAACTGCATCTGAAGAAGCCCGGTATGCAGAACCTAAATGTTCTCCCTGACAGGAAAAGAAAACCTGCTGGGGAAACCCTGGCTGGAAGAGAAGCCAAGCCTACTTTTGTGCAGGGAGTCCAGTGGAGGCTTACGTTTTCTTTGTAACACCTCCCTTCTCAGTATGCAGCTGGCAAGGCTTTAGGAACAGATCCCATTGGCAAAGAAAGAGAACAGCAGAAATCTGAACATAGTTATAGCTATGCATTTTCTAGAAATCTTACTTTGCTGTCCTTATAACAGCTTAACCACTGGTTCTTCAAAAAAAAAAAAAAAAAAAAAAAAAAAAATCATTGATTTCCCCTTGCCAAGCCAAAGAGACACAGAGGCAATGTTTTCTTTTAGAGCCACTGTCTTAATGTCTGTATCACACTTTACCATACACTGTACTGGCTGTTAATCAAAACTACATCAACCTCTTAAAGCTGACAGGCATTTTTAATGTTTGGTATTGTTGACAGTAGTTAAGGTGTGACCTTACTACATTTTCTTTTCAATACATTCTTTTGTAATCACAAAATCTACTTCATCGCACCTGTGTAAGGCCACTCACTGTTTACAGACATGAACGCAGCACACCCCTAGAAAACACCCATCATAACAGCACCTAAAATGTCTGATCTTTGAGTTTCCTTCCACCTAGGACTCCTGTTCTATTATCTTCTGAACTCATGTGAACCCAGTTTCACATGTTGCTGAAACGCAGCGTAGATAGGCAAACAAAACTGTTCACCACAGCATTCAGAGTACCTGCAAATGCCAGAGCTACCGAACAGTTTTACCAGCCTAGGACTACAGCAGGGACTGGAACACTGCTCTAGCGTTTTGTCAATGTCAAGGTACAAGGTAGGTATACATTGCAAGGTATTTTTATAGCTCTGGACTCACAAATGGGTTAGATTATCTAAAAGCTTTCCAGTCTTTTGCTGTCACCTCTGCATTAGTAGTGTACATCACTCCAGCGTATTTTGCTGTACAATACTCTAAAATCTTATCTGATCATTCATTTTTCATAATCACCATTTATGAACAGCATTCTATAAAAATAAATGCTCCTACTTCAATAAAATATTAACCATATTTCTTTCTTGTATCTATGATTTCAACTCCCCTCTTACTGTGAAAAGAAAAATTAAATGCAATTTTTTAAGTCTGTGCATAAAGAGGTCAAATTCATTATCTGAAATTAATGAACTCTAGCAGAAAGCCAAGGCAGATTTTTCTTTCATACTGCAAGGCATTTTGACCAGAGTACTTATACAGGAACTTCTTCCCTTAGCAAAATCAGGTTGATGATACACTGCCATGCTTCATGTAACAAAACCGCAAAGAAAAACGCTGTAAAAACAGACTACTTGAACATAGTTTAAAAATGCCTGTTTCCTTTCTGAGTTGAAAGAGTGGAAGAAGAATTGCTTTAAGCCTTCTAACCACAGACACAAGGTTAATATAATTTCAACATGCCTCTTAAGACGGCAAAATTAAGGAAATCAAAACAAGTACACCATTACACTATACGGCATTAAGCCGAAGGTCACCAAGACCTGTCCTCTGTTTATTTACCACATAATTTTCAGTTCTTCAAAAGCACGGTTTAATCACAGAAGTTTTTGTCGATATTTATAATTATACTGTTCTTACTGCAACCAAATCTATTGGAAAAAAAGAGAGATCTAAAAAGATCAAAAGATCTATTGGAAAGCAAAAAAGTTCCCTTTATATTTTTCTTTTATTTATTTGCTAATTGCTATCAATTCAGTATAATAAGAACTGATACATTTGCTGTTTTCATAAAGAGTGCATTTGTGTGTGTGCATATACAATGCATCTCTGCATTCAAAAGTAAACATACACACAGGTTGTGTTTGTTCATAATGAAGACAGCCATCAGGGGGTATTTTAGATTCTCAATTCAAAGAGCAAGTATAAGCTCTTTTTATTTTGTAACATCCTCAAGGATATCAAGCAACAGTTTTGTCCTCTTATATTACAGGCTGATTTTTGCAAGCACATGTGTTAATAATCCTACTAATTTCTTTGGACTACTCCAGTTAATAAATTTATTAACAGCTGAACATTCCCATGATACAGGCTTTACGTCTTTATCCAGTACATCATATTGGATAAAGCACTGTATATGGCACTTGTATATGTGATAGCTAAAAGCCAGAAGCATTACAGGCAGAAGAATCCTCTCAGCTTGTCCTGTCAGCAAATCCTATGAAACTATTTAGTCTTTGTTTAGCACAGAACTAGTCCATGTACAAAAAAGTCATCCACACACAAATGTCCACCGACATCTGTCAGGTTGGGCAATAATTTTTTCCAAGTTAGTACAGAAATGCACTGTCTGCAAAAAATAGTTTTGAAATAGCTGAATTCAACAGAGGAGACCAGTAATATATTACTCCTAACTCAAAACTGTCACACTAATATGTACCTTAACGACCGATAAAATCAAAATTGAAGTCCATTACTAGAAAGACCTTACCATCATACTTGTATTCATAAAATTATTTATGAGCAGTGCATTTCATAATGAATTAGCTGTCTTACAAAAACGTCAAAAGGTTATCAATGAAGCCCCTTCACACTAGATAAACCAGAGGAAAAACAGGGCTTTAATTTTCAATTTTAATGTATTTAGAAGTCTAAACTTCAAATAAAAATAACGTAGGTTCTTAAGCTACAAAACCATTACTGGTTTCTTGCTTATTCTTCTTTAATTGTACACCTTGTCTTTACCTTCCTCCTGTTACAATCAGTAGCTGTTTGAGAAACAAACATACAAGACAAACATACAACAACCTCCAACAACATACCGCAATTTCTCTGAAGTTGCCACAAAACTTTTCTCCCATAATAAAGAAAAACATCAAAACATACGCAACATTGTTTTAATAGATATGTATTCCATGGTTGAGAACACAGTGGTCTTTATTTAAAAGCACAGCCAGTGCCTGTCACGAAAGCAAGAGCCCCAGATATTTCATGGTTAATTAAAAACGTACTTAGCATTTTCTTTTAATCCAAATGAGCCACGAGGCAGGAGCTGAGACTTTTATTCAAAGTCACGCATAACCCTTGTTGCCATAAGTAGACTTCCACCTCACTGGTGCTTCTACTACAGCTCTGATAAAACTTTTACATTCATGAGTCAAAGGTTAAATAAAGGAGAGGAAATGTTTTCTGTCAAATAGTCAGGTAACCATCTAGTAAAAAAATAAAACTAAGGAAACTGCCTTTCCGTAGCTAAATGTCTAATGTCTAGGGGCTACTTTTCTGTCTGGAAAATTGACACAAAATGTGTAAAATTGAAACATTCTGCTTCTAAGGGATTTGCCTAAAGGAAGAGCGAGCAAGCTTCAAGCGTGGTCTGAACTGAAGAACTACAAAGGCTTACCACATAAACCTGTCTTCCTTATTAAAGCATTTCATCTGGAAACATAGGTGACAATTTTACAGTCATAAAATTAATGAAATCTAAGACTGAGCATTTTAATGATGCATTTTGTGTTCCTCTGGACGTGTAAGGTCAACCTCAGAGTCCATCAACAGCTTCAAGATTTTTAACCAGAAAAATTTCAGTCAAATTATTTACACTTTGTACTAAAACCATTCAGGTAAATCAAAAACAATTTCATGTAAACCCAGAAAGTATTATTCCTACTGCACACAGCAGGGACATTTAGGAACAATACCCAGAACAACTAAGTCTTCTTCTATTATTCAAAAGTGAACACTCAAGTTTCTACTGTGCCACTTCAAATCTCAACTGGGAAAAATTATTATTTAAATCAAATAGAAAAAGTAAAACTAGAAGAAAAGATCCAGTATAGTATATGAGCACAACAAGGCATATTACAAAGTTCCTACTGCGGCTACCTCATTCTTACAGGGCTGCATTAGCTCAACTGTTTCTGGAGAGGGAGGAGTGACACTGCAGGATTCACACCCCACCCAGAGCTTCACAAAGCAGCTGTGCAGCTTAAGGAAAAAAACAAAACAAAACAAAACTTGCAAAGGAATCACACAAACCTTCTGGAGAATAATCCAAGATTTATTTTCTCATCTTAGTATGGTTTTACACTTACTGGCACATTGATTTTGGCAACTGCAGTCAACCTCTGCATGACCATTTTATACAATACTGTATCACAATTAAGTTCTTCAAACAAAAATGCCTGAGATCGCTACCTTGGGGGATTTTTATTTCACTGTATAAACATACAGAGAACTTGAACAAAACATTCTGATTTGGGAGAAAATTCCATTTACACAAGTCATATACATGTGTAGATAAAATGTAAAAAGCCTCATGAATCTTATCAAATAATTTTATATGTACAAGTATATTTTCTGTTTCAAACCACCATTCAGTTGCAAATTCAGAGATTATTTCCTTTAATTAGGGTTTCAGATGAAGAACGAAGTATAGAGAGAAGTCCCATAAACTACAGGACTTTAATCTTAGAAGCAGATTTAGGTTGCTGGTGTAAAGCCTGTGGACAAGCAGCCTTTTCTTCAGTTTTCGGTTAAGAATCCCACTCAGCAGTTCAAATCCTATCTCTTTTGCTGCCCCAGCATAGGTTAAGGCATGGCCTGGTACCACGCACCAAAGACATTCCCACGAGAAAAGTTATGTCCTCTTCCTCACTCATCCGCCTACCCAAATTTCTGTAGTATTTCCTTCTCATCACTTTGACTGCCTTGTTTCTGCTCTTCTTTCCACAGATTCTTACTGAGATTTTAGTTATCTATGACTATTTCATTTAGTTAATTTTACTGTATTTGAGTATCTCTAGTTGTCTTTGTCACTAACATTAAAGTCACTAACTTTAATATATTCCTCTTGTTTGAGGCAATACACATGTATCTGCCTAAAGAGATGTGTAGTTAGACATTGTATTTATTGCGCCTGCATTTGTGTGTTTGTATACAAGTCTATGACTATCATGTACACATCTGTGACAGACAAACAGTTCGAATTGCTCATACAACAGTCGTGTATATACATACAGTGCATATAAATTTATGCTATTTGCATATATGGAAGAGAGCGAGTGTGAACATGCATACACACTCTTTATATATAAAGACAGCATAATTTATTAAAATTTCTTTCGTTTTGGTTCATTTATGATCAACAAGCACGTACAAGGGAAAGCCAGGTGAAATGACAAAAGATCTCTGCTAGTGAGTCTTGTCTCACTTGGTCACTTCTAATGAATCTTGGATTCAGAGTAGAAACCAGACTAGATACTAAAACACATTGGATGAAAATACTGATGCATTCTTTCTACATACAGTATTTAAATGCGCATACTTCAGTGTGCATGATTAAACATTTGTTATTATAGCATTAGAAGCCAGCCAGATAATCTTAAGAGTACAAGTAAAAAATTTTGTTTCCAGCTTGATGAGAGAAGAAAAGGTTAACACAGAGAAATGAGCTTAAAGCATACACATACATTCTCTCTCTGGGCCTTAACAAGACATATCAACAAAAGGTATCACAGGGAAAAGGGTTAAGTACTGGACACTCCAAAATTCTAAGAATCAAATCTTTCTGAAGTATTATTAAAGAAGTATTGTCAGGATCACAAAAAGTCAACTAAGTTCCAGAATAAAATCTTATCTGTTTTGCTATTTTCATTATATGGTAGTAATTATTATTTTTTGCAATATTTATATCAAATATTTTTTTTAAATTACTTGCTCAAAACCGTCCCGTGTACTGATTCTCAACATTAGTTTGGAATCTGTTTAAAAGCTCACAAAAATCTTGATATTTCTAATAATTTTAAGCACTACTCTACAAGTTTCTATATTGACTGGTCTTTTTCCCCTCCTCCGCGTGTTCTTTTACTGATATTCTTTTACAAGTCAATGTTGGGTTTGTCTCCCTAACTCATGTGAGCCTATCTTAGTGACACCTTCCACGATTCCCTGACGTCCATGTTGTCCAAATACCTGATACTCTGCTTTTCTCCATAAGCTTCCTAGCTCACTCTCCAAAATTCACAGAATGGTACGGGTTGGAAGGGACCTCTGTGGGTCATGTAGTCCAACCCCACTGCCAAAGAAGGTTCACCCAGAGCAGGCTGCACAAGACCTTGTCCAGGTGGGTCTTGAACATCTCCAGAGAAGGAGACTCCACAACCTCTCTGGGCAACCTGTTCCAAGGCTCTGTCACCCTCAAAGTAAAGTAGTTGTTCTTTGTGTTCAGCTAGAACCTCCTATGCTTCAGTTTGTGCCCGTTGCCCCTTGTCCTGTCGCTGGGCACCACTGAAAAGAGTTTGGCCCCATCCTCCTGACACCCACCCTTCAGATATTTATAGGCATTTATAAGGTCCCCTCTCAGTCTTTTCTTCAGGCTGAACAAGCCCAGATCCCTCAGCCTTTCTTCATAGGAGAGATGCTCCAGTCCCCTCATCATCCTCGTAGCCCTCCGCTGGACTCTCTCCAGTAGCTCCTCATCTTTCTTGAACTGGGGAGCCCAGAACTGCCCCTCTGCTGCCAATGGGTTTGGCTCTTTGGCAGCACAAGGCTCCTCTTTCACCTTGCGTTTCGGGATTCTCACTTTGAAGGCAGCTATACTTCAATCTTGTTGTTCTCGTGCTGCTGAACTGGATGTTCCCATTTCCTCTATGGACATTACAGGCTGCTAGGCTCTTCACTGAAGTGGCAAATTTGCCTTTTAATTAAAGGACTCTGCCTTTTAATTAAATTAATTAAAATGGTTTTAGGACAGCTGAACAAACAGTTTTTCTCATTACCAAAACCATTATCTTACAGGAGAAGAAAGAAAAAGCAGAGGGAGAAACAAAGTATTTCACTAGAGTCAATTTCTCCACCATCAGTATCTCTTCTGCAACAAAGCATCATGGTCTTCATTGCAAATTATCTGGCTCTGGCATTTCTCATATTAGATATAGTCCTGCCAAAGAACATGGAAGACACCCCCAAAAATCATATTTCCAAGGAGAGGGATACAGAACAGCGCATTTTCTTGTTGAATTGAATAGATACTCCTCCAAGATCTCATTAGAAAGTAAAAACATCCACATAATATTCAAAGCCTCTAAAGCTGCAGTGTATTGTTCTCTGCTTTTAAGCAAAAATTTCACATTATTTAAATAGAATTATTTAGCCTCACACAAGAACACCATCATACGGGGCTGCGACCACTTTTCATGTGAAATCAGTGGAACACTGTTGTACAGAAATGATACCCTGATAGAGAAGTATAGCACGTTATCAGAGGATTTGCTAAAGATAATTTTTTCTTGTATTTTTCTTATATTCACTCCTTGATTCAATTTTCCTTATACTGACTTACCTTAGAATACAGAGGCAGACCTTGCCTCCTGATGTCAAACGGCAAAATCCAAACCTTTGTTTACTTTCAATGTCGGTGAGCACGAAGGTAAAATGCTGTCCTACTTGATTTTGAGACACCCTGAAAAATTAGACACAGAGCATAAAACCACTGAAAAACATAAGCATGTACATCATCAGTGTCAAGCACTTTCACGCTCAAGCCTCACTATCCTTCTCTCCCTTTCCATCCTCCCAGCTGCCTCCTGCACCCCTCTCCCTCCTGTCGGCGCGGAAGAGCCCAGGTCCTTCCTCCAGCCGTGCCATGGCTGACACTCCAGCCCCATTCTCCGGCTGCCGTGCTCCGCGGGATCCGACCCCCAGTCTGAATGGACAGGGCATTTCATAAGTAAGGCCTAGGCAGAGCCAGCAGAAGCCTGCCACAGCTTGTTGGCTTTGAGCACACCCCAACACTGGAAAATGATAACCAAACCAAAGGTTTAAAATTCTACAAATAATTTATTAAATGTCATGATACAGGTCTGGCTTAAGATAGCCATTAGAAAAATAGCAGCACCCCCCCCCCCCGCTTCACACTACCTTCGTTGGTTAAACCTGTAGCCTTCCCCTTCCCATGCATTCACACTCATTTTCCTCTATTTTTTGCACTACACATTGCCCAACAAACAACATTTTGCTAAAAGTTCATTTTCCAGTGCAAACTTGCTCGACTCCGGAAACGCAAAAGCCAGAAAATAATCCAGAACAAATAGCACGAGAGCTAAAACAATAAGTAATAATACCTGCAAGACTGTATCAAAATGTGTACCCACTTGAGACAGAATACATTTACGCAAAATTTCCCAGCCCGATGTTCCAACTCCTCTCACCCCACACCCTGCTCAGCCAGCATTCCCTTAGCAGCGCAGGTTAATCCACTTCGTTCTCGGTTTTTACCTCCCCTCCAGCATCAATTCTGACTCCTCATGCTCATCACCAGGCCCCAGCCCCAACCTCCATTCCTGACCTCCCACTTTCTGCTTGACAGTATGAACCTTTTCCCAATTTCTTCTTAGAAGAAACGGTATCTTCACCGCCATGAGAAGTCTCATCTCCTTTATGCTCTCAAGCCAGGTGCCTTTCTCTCCTGTCCAATTTGTCAGCTTCAGATAGAGGATCACCAAGAGCACAGGACAGACCCGCTTTTCAGCGTGGCCAAACTTCAGCAATCTTCACCAAAATTGCAAAATATATTCAATCTAAGCATCGTAGAACATGAATAAACTGTATCTGAAGTTTACTCACAGAAATACATATTGCACTTCTCCAAAATCTCCCAAAGAGAATCAGCCTTAGGTAGACTTGGAATTTTCCGCCAGAAGAGGTAACGTGTGGCACAGAACGAATCACAGAACGGTTTGTGTTGGAAGCGATCTTTAAAGATTTAATTAAAACCAAATGAAAACAGAGATATGATTGGGAGTGCATGGATATCTGAAAATGTGGAATGTAGCAGTTCTGCCTGTAATTCTATTGTCCTCTGTTCTTTTCCCATTCTCACATGATATTTTACAGCAGAATACCTAAGCACCTGCCAAGTAAGCTCCCTGACTAACGTGTCGTGTGGTTCATTCTTGGATGCCAAGCTGAAAATGAATTCCCACAGAAGCTGAGAACCATCACAGATCTCAGTCTTCCAATCTTAGACCACAAAATTTTTTAATTTATCCCCTGCATTATGGGTTGGGGTCTTCTGTTGTGCTTTTTTTTAAATCTCCACCTAAACAAAAACCAAAAATTTTCCCCTAGGAAAGAAGAAAGTAGATGATCATCAAAGGACGAGAGAAGTTACATGGGACATATGCACATTACACCATTTAACATGCATGACCATCTTAAAGATTAGTTAAGTGATACCACTACCCAGACTGCAGAGCCTCCCACCCATTTCAGTCTGGCCTCGTCCCTCGTGAACATCCAGTGACCAGGCTGAAGAAAAAGCCTCTGCTGAGCATACACAACATTACAAGGTACCTTTAGTCCAATATAATCACTGGAAACCCGTGATAATTAGTGGTCTTTTTTTAGTTAGGTATTTAAAACTCAGATCATTAAGACAAGCATTTTCCTTGTTTGTCTTCAACAGACTGGAACAACCTAGTGTGCTCAGCAGCTTTCACTCAGTCCTTCATTCGTCAGGTTCCGCACAGCTAGCATGCTGCCTCTATGTTGTGCCTGATACAACAAAGAGCCATCAATAGCAATGCGTTATTACTTCCCTACCAGGGATGCCATTTGCTGTTCCACATCTTTGCATTTTCCTCTCTGTTCCTGAGAGCAGATGGCCACTGAAACCTGCAGTATGGCTCCAGCATCCCTGCGCACGCTGTGGCTGGGGCCTTAAGCAGCAATTCGGCAGTAGCTGGTCCATCGGTAGCACTGGTATGGCGCTGGGCACAGTGCCCTTGGCTGCCACCTTGCTCCCACCCCTCCCTGCTCTGCCATGCCCCGCTACGAGGCTCGGAGCTCTCTGCAGCCACCACTGGCTTTTTCTTACACTGCAAAACACCTGGCATGGTTACACTGGGGTCTCTACCCACCATCTTAACCCACAGAGATCACCAGTCATTCACAAAAAGCAACTGTTGACAGATGCTCATCTATGCAGGCATCGATTTTAATGTACTGTGTACACGTATGTCAGGCAAATGACTACTTCAATACTGCTTGAAAACAATTCCTTAGCCCAAAAAACTCACATCAGTAATAATCTCCTTACTTGCCTCCTCCCTTCCCAAAATCTGAAGACGATATGGGAAAATACCTGGTGTTGCAATTAAAGCATAAGTAAAAGTGTCACTAGACAAGACCACTTTAAAAATGAGATTTAAATTCTGATATTCTCTATTAAAAATAGCCCAGCCAATTTACGACAGTTC